AAAAAAGCGGTCATATAAAAAAAAAAAAAAAAAAAAAAAAAAATAGAACTGCATTTAAACAAGATCACTGTAATAAGACAATGATCTGTAAACATAACTAAATCACTTTAACACATATAATTAATTGCTATAATGTGCTGTAACATTACAAACCAGTCATCTTTTTTAATGGAATCAGTGGCTGTATCTATATGGATAAGGGCATGCACACACCACTGTGTGAAATCTTTTGCTCAGAGTACTTTTTGTGCTGAACAGGCATTTTTATATCTGCTACAGAGGCATAATGTCTTCTAATTTGTCAACTCCTGGTAATATAATGCTATCCCATAAGTTTTCTTCATCACCACAGGTGGTGTTCATCTTTTTGTTTTTCATCCAGTGTTCATGAGTCTGACTGACCCACTGCATTATTGGCTTTTTGAGACTGTGTCAGATCAGGTAATTACTTCGCTCTTGGTAATACTGTATGTAAGCCTCTAGCATATGTTGTGTTTTGTATTGCCTTGTACAGTATGCCACAGTGAATGTGTGTCTTTCGCAGTGAAAAATGCTCTCAACAGGGTATGTAAGCTTTGGCATCCACCTTTGCTAAGTGGCTACACAGCGAAACAAATGCCATAAAGGCTGCAGGAAGCCCTTCAGGGACCCCAGGAATTCCCAAATTTCTATTTTGAAAACCCAATTTTTAAAGAGCAGGACATGTGAGACTCTTAACTGTCTGGACCTGGCTCCTCAAAGTTTTCTCGAGGCAGCAGTCCCTGGAAACAGACATAGTGAGAGTTGCAGTAGACTGGGGTTTTGTTGGGACAAGCCTGGACCTGCTCTGGTTTTTGTGAGGAGAATGGGTTGGATCCACTGTCCCTGATGTGCATCTCCAGCTCCAGCAGAATCTGCAGTGAGTACTTAAGCTCCATCTCACTGTGGGAAGAAAGAGATGGTGAAGGGATCAGTTAATCAAGTAAGTTTTGTTTTATGGTCCTCATGCGAGACTGGTGGGAGATTAAACACCTGTTCATAAACGTATTTTAACATCAACCTACAAAAAACAGTTTGAGGCAAGGAACCATATCAACATCAACAGAAGAGAAAGAAAAGCGACAGGTTACTCCAAGAGTTTTGGATGGCAGACAGTATACAGTCTGAGCTAGAGGCCCACTGGCACAAAGAATTTCATATAGTCACTATTGCTTGCAGGGCAAGGAATTTCATTATCTCTGCTATAAAATTTGAAACAGGTGATTTTTTTTTTCAGTAAAATCTAACCTGTACATGGTGAAGAAGGAAGGGATGTTATAGTCTCTGAGCAGCAGAAGGGTCGGCAACCAGCCTTCTACCAGACCCTGGTTAGCATGGAACCCTGTGTTAAAACACATAAAAAAAACACGAGAGTAGTTATATAAATAAGATGCATAGAGTACTAAAGGCCCTCAGATAGACATAACCAGAGAAAATGTTCCTTTTAGTTTACTTGCCCGTTCAGCAGATAAGGAGCAATGTTAATATTAATTTGGAATCATATTTTAAACACTTGATGTAGTTCAGGGAACAACACTAGAAAGAAGCTGATTGAGAGAATACTTTTTCAGAGCCTTTAAACTTAGGACAAGCCACTTTTGCAGCTACCTCTCTGAATATGGCAATTTGACACACTAAAAAGCACTTAGAGAGCTGTCTGTTTCTTGCCACATCCATCTCACACAGGCCGACAGAGAAAAAGTGAGGTCTTTTTCCCAAGTGAAGTGACTATCAAACAGATTAGGCTTGATAAGTCTCCAGCTGGCTGTCATTCCTTGTTAGCTAGAATATATGTTGTCCTGGATGTGCCACTCAGAATGTTTTGCACTCAGTCTAATTACCAGTCAATATGACAAACGAAATCTCATTTTTAGCAAAGAAGTTGACTTCATTTAATAAGAACTTCAGCTGGACTGGAGAAAGCTGGATCTAACTTAACTTGCACTACACCAGCTACCACCACATAAACAATTCACCACCTAAGCCTTGTTGGATTCATAATCCTGGAGCATAATAACTGACAGATATCACTCTGATTTATAGTAGTATGCTTGTTGTTGTTGTTGTTGTTGTTTTTTGTGGCTCTTCAACCACCTGAATAAGGTTCAAGTTACCAATGCAGCATATATTGTAAATCCATGCAACCACCTTAAGTGTCCTGGAGTCAGACAAAGCCAGAAATGCACCAGAGAATGTCACAGCGCCAATCACAAAAGTTAGTCTGTCCAAGAGACTGACGCAGATTAAAATTCAATCCGCATCAGGGAAAAGTGTGCAGGTGTTGTGTGATGAACATAGTGGTGTGTATATTGCTTTTGTGTGTGTCAGGGCATGCACACAGATGGTGTCATGTTATCTACCACCTGCCACATCCTTCCAGAAAACTCACACAGCAGAAAGAGAGAATACTGATGTAAATAATGCACACTATGCTGCAATCATCCCTGAGGTTACACTTGTCATCATGATAAAACATTTAAGAGGGAATAAGTGTTTAGGAGTTTACAGTCTGACTATAAATGCCTGTAGTCATTGCAAGTCCAAATTTGGGCCATATGGTGGATAAAGTAATAGGCTTTCTTTGTTTTCTTGTGTACCAATAATAACCATGAGTTTATTCTATAGATAAAACACTATCTGGATATTGTGCTTGTGTTTTTGAAGCACCTGTTTTCAGCAGTCTGGATTTGTAGGACTGACATTACTAAGCCCAGTATTCATCTCCTTTTTGATCATCATATTTTTCTCTAAGGTCAATGCCTCCCTGTTTCCTCTGTTTTCCACTGCTTTTTTTAAGCCTTCCCCACTCTCATACCTTCCTGTATATTCCTTTTGTCATGCTGCCTGCTCCCTATCACTTAAACAGTGTCATAATGCAGTGCTTTGCCAGCTGTGCGATATGAAATGCAGCCAGGTATTCAGGAGGCTTATTCACAGGGTGACTGATTCCTGTATATTTAGCTCCAACGAAGCCTGCAGTGATAACTGAGCCAGGGGTAATGGGTGAGGTTGGGGTGCAGCTTTTCTGGTCTTTTGCAGATTAAAGAATCAGAAAACAAATTCAGTGCAGGAGGTTAGGAGGTGTAGGGTTGTAATGAGGTGGTTGGGATGGGTAGTCAGACAGGTGACGTGATACATTTCAGTTTAATATTCTAATTTTTCACAAAATGGAAAATGTTGCATTTGCCTTTTGTGCCGTTTTCCAAAAGTATTAACTAGTACAGAATTCAGAAAAGGGCTTTTAAAAGGTAAGAACTGACTGACTGAAACCAGCACAGGGATGGAGAGGTTGTATTAAATCAGTGATTTTGCACGACTTTGGCATGCAATGTTTGCCAGAGTGAAACCGACTGGGTGGACAGAGCCTCCCCTTTCAAAAGGACAGCTTGCT